CCAGCAACTTTGTTTTTGTTCCTGATTTACAGCATCTGCAGTTCTTTCAGTTTTTTTTACATTGCATAAATACGTTGCATCAATATTTACAACAGAGGACAAAGTCAACATGTCAGATGTCCCAAACAAACTAATATTGAATCTGGTTCAAGAATTAGCATAAAAGTAATGAAAAAGATCCTGGTATGAAATGACAAATCTTCAGAACCAGATGACTTCCATTCAAGGTTTTTTAAAAAACGCCGATGAGAACATTCTAGATACATTAACTATTGTCTGCTCTTAATTCACAGACCACTGTATTTGATTGCAAACTTGAGCATGTCCCAACTTAACAAACAAAGGTGAAAGAAACCACGGGGTTGGTCATGATATCTCTTATTTGGAAATTGCTCAAGCATATCAAGAAGGATAGGGTAACTGATCATTTTGAAAATTTTCAATTGATCAAAGAAATCTGAAATGGAGTTGGAAAGTGTGCTTTGTTGAATTTGATTGAATTTTTTTGAACTAACAAGGGAATGTGAATGGAAATTTGTTATTTGGATTTCCAGAAGACATTTGATAAACTCCAGCAAAATGGAATGTTAACTAAAGCTGAGGTTCATGGAATTTAGACAAATTATTGACTGATCAAGAAACGGCTGAATGGCAGGAGAGGGAGTCAGAATAATCTACAGGTACTCCAATTGGTGGAATGTGACTAGTAGTGTTTTGTAAAGATCTGATCTGGGGCCTCAATTACTCACAATATTCATTAACAACTCAGATGATGGGATAGGACAACACATATACAAACTTGCTAATAGCACAAAAGTTGATTTAATAGGAGGCTGAGAATTGGAATCATAAAATTACTAAGGGACAGATTATATGAATGGACAAGACTACAGGGTAAAAACATTCTTCACTTATACAAAACCCAGCGTACACCATGTTTGGAGTCTGGTGAACAGTTCTGGACACACTTTAGGAGGAATTGTTTGGTCTTGAAGGGAGCAGTGAAGGCTGGATCGTTATATATATTCAAGGCTGGGTTAGACAGATTTCAATTTACAACTGTGTCAAGGATTGTGGCAGAAAGGCAGAAAGTGAAGTTAAAGCCATAATCGAATCAGCTATGAACCTATTGAATGACAGGGCAGGCATGGTGAGCCAAATGGCTACTCCTCTTCCTATTTCTCATGGTCTTATGAAGAAAACGAAAATTCTCTGGCAGCTTAACAAAAGTGTGAAGCAGTTACTTTAATTCCACTGAAGTGCTGTACGCTTTCTATTTTGCAGTCCTCACTTTAAACTAGAATATGCACCATGAGTTCATTTGTGAACAAATTTCAGTAATAAAAACCCATCTGGAATGATTCATAGCCTAGTCGTTTTACCTAAGTACACAGTAGGAATGACAAAAAGAATTAAGTACTGGAAGGCAAAATTTTGGATATGTGTTATAGATCTGGATTTGTCTGCAATACAGCAGGAGATAGTTTATAATATGTAGCGGTGATTTTATTCATGAACAAGGAATTGAAATATTCTCATAGCCAGCTGAGATATTTGTGGTACACTCTGAAATGTTATTTGTGAGCTTACTTTCGTCTCTGCGTAATAACCTCTTACAATTTTTAAAAAATATCCTATCTTCCTATTTTGGAGCACAGCCGTAACAAATTTTTGTATGTCAAAGCTCAGCAGCTGCCATTATTAACTTGATGCGGAGTCTTTGATTGCCGCGGACAGCTGATGATCTACATAATGATGATTCTCAGTTAATCTGGCAGGCTTCCAAATGAACTGCGTCCACTGTAGTTTTCAGGCTGCTGCATTGCAACGAGTGTTGAAAGTCAATTAATTACCTTTTTTCGAAAATCAAAATTCACTCATTCTCAGATCACTCAACTGTGTAATGGAAAAGGGAGCGAAACAGACTGCAGTGAGCAGGAAGGGAATTACATGACAAAGTGAAGGATGGCCTTTGAAAAGCATTGCAGCCAAGAAAGATGCGTCAGTATTTATTTCAATATTTAAAATATACAGAGGTAA